TGCTGACAAACTTGCCGGAAGGCGAGTTGGGCCGGCTGGCCAAAGCCCTGAAAGATTACAGGAAGCTGAAGGTCTTGCGCCTCCGCAACATTGAGGTGGGTGAAGCAGAGGCCGAGGAGTTCTGCAAGGTGGGGCCGCCGTGCCGCGAGGGCGCTTGGTCTTAGAAAAAGCTGTTTTCAGGCGCTTGGGCTGAACGACACAATCACAAAGCTGGAGATCCGAGACGCTTTTGCCCATCGAGCCCGGTGTTCGGCTCTGTGGAAGGCACGAGCTTTCACGGTGACAGAGATACGGTCGCTTGCTCCCGGCCCCGTTGCTCCCCTGAGAGGCACTGGCAGCTGCACTGAAGTCCAACGGTACGGTCACCCACATCGACCTCGCTGGCAACGACATCGGAGCCGAGGGTGCCAAGGCCAGGCGGTGCCCCACCGGGGTCTTTGCAGCTTGCAATTTCGACGCCGCGGTTCCCCTGAGAGGCACTCGCAGATGCCTTGAAGTCCAACAACTGCACGGTCACCCATGTCAACCTCGAATCCAACGACATCGGAGACGAGGGGGCCAAGGCCAGGGGGTGCCCGCGGGGTCTTCGCAGCTTGCAATTTCGATCCCGTGTTTCTTGTCAGAGGCACTGGCAGACGCCTTGAAGTCCAACTGTACGGTCACCCACGTCAACCTCGAATTCAACATGATCGGAGGCCAGGGCGCCAAGGCCAGGTGGTGCCCACGGGGTGTTTGCAGCTTGCAATTTCGACCCCGGCTTTTTTCTGAGAGGCATTTGCAGATGCTTTGAAGTCCAACTGTACAGTCACCGACGTCAACCTTTATGGCAACTGGATCGGAGTTGAGGGCGGCAAGGCCAGGCGGTGCCCACAGGTTCTTCGCAGCTTGCAATTTCGACCCCCCGCTTTTCCGCTGAGAGGCACTCGCAGATGCCGTGGAGTCCAATCGCACCGTCACCGTCAGACCCAAGGTCAGCCAGCTCGGAGGCAAGGGTGCCAAGGCCAGGCGGGGCTCCCGGGGTTCCAGCCGGCAATTTTGCATCCTTCAGATGCTCTGAAGTCACCCGCATACTGTCACCTGCATCGACCTCGCATGGAATCAGAGATGATAGGGTTCCTCGGGCCGTGGGGCACCCGAAGCTTCGGCGAGCATGTGGCTCGATCTGAAAGTTGCTGCCAGGACATCGAAGAATC